CTTCCTAAAACTAAGTGATTTATTCTAATCCCTTTAATTGCTTCACCTAGTCAACAGTGATGGGCAGAAGTAAGAGCCAATTTAATCCTATTACCTCATTTGACATGTGTTCAGTGGACAGATACCTCTCTCATAAATATTAAAATATCAAGCAAATGTTAGATGTTCAGGCTGTTGTGAGGTTTACATGAACAATAAACAGTGCTTGGTTATTTGCATCACCACCATCACCATTATCATCATCGTTGTCTTTCTAGGAAAGGAACACAAGGATCCTTGTGTGATTTACTTAAAGACTAGGGAGGAAAGGGAATAGCAACTTGCCAATCCTGTTGTTTCCATGAACATCATTATCTACACTTGTCTGTTAAGGGCAGGAAAGGTGTAGGCCTGTGAAGGAGGATTTAATCAAAGTTCCCTCAGAACCCACAGTTTCAGGGGCTCTTCATGTTCACTGACAAACTATTCATCTTGAGCCATGCAAAGGAAGATACAGCAGATCTCCAGCCCTTTCTTCCACATGCTTTTGGATGACCCAAACTGCCAACCTTTCCATTAGTCGTAGAGCACAAACTGTTTGTGCCATCCAGGATCCACAAGCAGGTTATCACCCCTATAAAGGCCATTAAGTGTACCCTTGAAGTATGATATCTAAGAGCAGGCAGGGTGGTCACTGCCCTAGTCACACATGGAAGGTCAGGAAGCTACATCAAGATCATAGTGCCTGAGTCACAGTAAGCTTCTGACACACTCACCACTGCGTTTCCTTTTCAATTGTTTTATAATATTTAGCAGCAATAGATCCTTTCACTTGTCAAATGTTAGATTCATAACGTGAAATCTCATCATGTCTGACTTCTGATTACCACAGCGGTGGAGCAAGAGGTCCCTGGTGAACCCCAGATTCTGCCCCTTGCAGCACTGTGAAGCCAAACATGCTTATTGTTAACTGATTGAAGTTCTTTTCCACTCATCCCAGTGTGCCCTGAAATCTGCTCTGCAGCCACACTATAACCCCACACACTCCCTCTCTTCCCACTCCCCTGTTTGATTAACACATGCTCCTCTTCTAGCTCACTGGGAAATTAGAAGCCATTGGAAGAGACCTTCTGCAAGCTTCCACTTCCACCCACCCCAACATCCAGACTCTCATATTCTTCCTTCATTCCTGTTGCAACAGATGAAAGATTTTGGTTGCCCTCTAAGGCCACCCCATTCCCTTGTGCATTAAATCTCATCCCTTCTCAAAGTCCTTATACCAGTAGCTCTCCACATACTCTTCTTGTGTCATCATTTTCCCTTTCTCTACTAGATGATTTCCATCAGCATTAAAACACTTATTTTTTTCCATCTCAGAAAGCAAAAACAAAAGCAAAAAATTTTTGATCACACTTTTCCCTCTTGCTACAGCTACGTTCTCTGCCCCCTTTCATGACAAACTCTTTGAAGGAGTTGTCTTTACTTACTAGTCCCAACTCTTCTCCCAGTATCTCTTAAACTTATTCCAACTGGCTTCTCACACCACCCAGTGCACTACAACATTTCTTGCTGATAAGTTGCTAAGTCGAGGTTCACTTCTAGTCTTACTTTGTTTTCTGATCAGAGCATTTGACGTGGTTGCTTACTGTCTCCTCTCTGAAACATTTTCTTCATTTGGCTTCCATGATACACACTTCTCTAGTTTTCTTTCCGCCTTACTGGCAGCTTCCTGGTGTCTTTTGCTTGCCCCTCCTAATCTCTCCTCTTCATGTTGGAGTCGTCCAGGACTTAGTCCTTGGACACTTCTTTTCCTAGCTGCACTTACTTCTCTGGCAATCTCATCCATTATCATGCCTTCAAATATCAACTGTTGTTGTTGTTGTTAATTGTCTTCTAGTCAGTTCCTATCCATAGCAACCCTGTATAGGGTTTCTGAGGAGCATTTGGTGAGCTTGAACCGCTGACCTAGCAGTTCAAATTGACTTTACAGTCCAGCTAGTTAACCCACAGCACCACACCAAGACTCCAAATATCAACTGTATAGTGATAATTCCGAATTTTGTACCTCCATTCAGAATCTCCCCCTAAAACTCCAGATTCCGGTATATGCAGCTACTACTTAACATTTCCATATGGATTGTTAATAGGCATCTTAAATTTACCATGTTTAAAGCTAACCCCTAATCTTCTCAAGGCTTTTTCATTCCCCATTTTCCCCAAAAACAAACAAACAACAACAAAAACAAAAACCACCTTATTCTACCTGCAGTCTTCTAGGTCCAAACCACTGGAGTCATTGTTGCCCTCTATAGACCATATCCAGGGTGTCAATAAACCCTGTAGGCTCCACACAATCTGTCCACTTCTCACCATCTCTACTGCTATTATTCTGATCTAAGCTATCAGTATCTCTCATCTATTCTAGATTAGTGGTATTCCAACTTGACTCCTTTCAGTTTCTTCTTAACACAGCAGTTAAAAGAGATTGTCAGAATGTCATCTTAGGTCCCATAATTCCTGCCTCATCTGGCTTCATTATCTCTTCCATCTCATTCTGACCTTCCTATAGTCACAAATAGTTTAGACATGCTCCTGCCTCAAGACCTTTGCACTTAAAAGTCTCATTGCCTGAAACCTTCTTTCCCCAAACACATGCATGCCTTGCTCCCTCACATCCTTCAAGTGTTTGCACAATGCTACCTAAGAAGAAAGGTCTGTTGGATCCATTTAAATTTGAAACTCAAAGAGCAACTCCTCACTTGTACTTCCCATGTCCCTTCCTCTTTATGTTCACCCCAGCCCTTTACACTTTCTACTCTAAGAACAGCTAATATATGGTATCATTTCCTGATTTATTGTCTGTCTTCTCCCAGTAGAATGTCAGCTCTGTAAGTATGGAGAGGTGTGTCTGCTTTGTCCTCTGTTGTATCCTTAGCAGCTAGAAGAGTGTCTGACACGTAAGATGCTCAATACATATTTGTTGAATGAACTAAAGAATGAATGTAGAATGATTGGATAGCTACATAGAATACACATAATTCTTTATGATTATTTTTATCATTCTGTCCTAAAAATCCAGGAAGCAATCAGGATATGGATGGGGAAGACATATATGTTGACAATGACACATACAACCTTGTGACACAAAACATGGTCCATGGAGCAGTAGTATCACCACCACCTGGAAACTTGGTAGAAATGCAGACCCCGCAGGCCTCATTTTAGACCTGCTGACATGGAATCTGATTTTAGTGAGATAGTCCCATAATGGTACATTAAAGTTGAAAAAGACTGGTCTTGAGCAATGGTTTCAACCTTGATTGTGTATCATAATCACCTGATTAACCTTTAAAAACTCCAGACATCTGAGTCCGCTCCCAGAGTTTCTGACTGAATTGGTTTGGAGTGAGTCTAGATAAGGTCAATGGTCGAGAGAAAAAGTGACTGCCTGTTCATTTGAGTAGACAACTAAGAGTAGAAACTTGTCTATCTCTTGGTGCAAAGAGATGACATGTTGGTATCAACAACTTTACTTATTTCAAAACAGCAGTTTTCAGTTCCTCATCTGTGGTTTCAAGTGAGACTTTTTCTTAGTTACCTAGTACTTTTTCTTAGTTATCTAGTACTACTCCAGAGTCCTGGTATGGCATTGTGGGTTAATGAGCTGAACTGGAAGGTCAGTTTGAAACTCAAGGCCTGCGTTTCAAGCTCACCAGCCACTCCTTGGAAACCCTATACAGGTTTGCTATGAGTCAGAACCGATTCCATAGCACATAACAACAACAACAAAGTACTACCCTAACACAAAGGAACTCTGGTAGCGTATTGGGTATGATGTGCTGAACTGCCAGGTCAGTTTGAAACCTCAAGGGCAGCAGTTCAAAACTACCAGTCGTTCCACAGGAGAAAGATGTGCCTAGTTCTGCTCCTGTAAAGATTTACAGCCTCAAAAACCCTATGCAGAGTTGCTATGAGTTGGAACTGACTCCACGGCACACCACGACTGCCACCGCCATCATCATTACACAAATACCACAAGTGGGTGACTGTAAAGAACAAAAATTAATTTTTTCACAGTCCTGGATGGATAAAAATCCAATTCAGGGTCTTAGATGCATCCTGTGCTTATAGATGATCTTTATACAGCATTAACTTCCACCATATATGTGTATTTGTCTAACTAGTCTTTTTGTAATTCAGAAATTATTGCTACTCAGGGATGATCTAATTAACATAATAATGGCCTAATTAACATAGCCCAAGAAAAACCCTGTTTCCAAACAGGATCACCTCCATGGGTACTCAAACCCAAAATCCTAACTCAGTGTCACTGAGTCTATCCAAACTCCTGGCAAGCCTATGTACTGCAGACTAGAACTGACACCAATAGGGCTTCCATGGTACAGGGACCAGGAATTCAACACATATTTTGGGGGTACACAATTCAATCCATAGCAATTTTCACTTTGGCTGCTACTTACTATCAGGAACTCTACTCATTCTACATCCAGGCTGGTTCTGCCAGTCTCAGAAGCAGGCAATAAGCACGGACAATGTGGGTCCCTTGGAGAAATGGTTCCTGCTGTCTTTTCCAGTAGGATCCAATGACCTTTGAAAGCACAAAGGTCAACAGAGTGAGAGGAGTGACTGAGAACTTGAGGGTTGGTCACTCTCTGGGTGGACTTCTAGAGAACCCTGGGCATAGGATTCTGGACAAGGAGCTCAGCCTGGGCCCTGCCACTCAGCCTGTATACTGTACTTGAAAGGCTTTTGCGTTTCAACCATTCTACCTCTGATGCTTCTGCACCCATTGACTGACGTTTCCTGGGTGACTTCACAGAAAAGCTTGGGGTGCAGAACTGACCTCTGAGTGTGATCTCAAACATAGCCACCCTGAACCTGAAGTTCAACCCTACAATTAGAAAGAGTAAAAGGGTGCTAAGTGATATCAAGAAAAGATCCTGGAAAGGTATAGTGTATATATCCAGATTTTCACTGACCCATTGGACTCTCTCTTGCAGCTGAAATCTCGGGTTCTCATGACTCCATTAGGCCTTTCACCTCCACGGAGTATCCCTGAGCCTGACCTCAGCAACATCCCTCAGGATGCAGCTACTATACCCAGCTTGGCAGTCCCACAGGCTCTCACAGGTAGGTCAATGGAATGAGTTCCAAGTTTGCAACAGGTAACAAAGCAGCCCACGATCTAACAATTGCTTAATGAATGGAAAAACTACCACCTGAGAAAGCTCCACATGAAGGCTTTTGTGTTTCTATTAGCTGGACAACAGATAGGATGATGAGTTTCACATATTCTTGCAGCTTTGGTTATTTGAACCATGGTTTTCAGTACATCTTGAGTGTAGTTGATTGCTTTAGGGTGGGGCAAGAAAGAGTAGTTGATCATTTACTTTGCACCCAAAATAAGTCTGTTCACCTTGATAGAAAAATGTTTCCATTAGCTGCACTTGAACTTCCAGATCTCTGAAGGCTCCTAACCCACTCAGCACCCTCCAGTTAAGGTAAGGTAGTGTACATCGCAATTTCTTTCTCTCTGATGCTTATTTTTTAACTTTTTATAGTGAATTAAGTGAAGGTTTACAGACAAGATCATCAGCTTTTACATTCTACAATTATACACCTCATTTCATCTCACTGATTATAGTCCCCTCCCTGCAACAACAGTTACCTTACATCCTCCCTGTAGCTCCCCATTTTCATCTTATATTTCATAAGTGAACAAGTCCACAAGAGACAAAATACAACCTTGAGTACATCCCACCTGCATTTAGAGACTATCTCTAGAATAGATTTGACTCATTGAACACTAATGACCAAAGACCAGATGAGTATAGGATGATATCAGGGACATCATACATGAAGAAAGCAAAAAGTCATTAAAAATACAGAAAAATCCAAAATGGATGTTAGAAGAGACTCTGAAACTTGCTCATAAACAAAGAGTAATTAAAGCAAACAGAAGAAATCACAATGTAAAAGAACTGAAGACTTAGAAGTGCTGCTTGAAAGGACAGAGGAAAGCATTTTCATACAATGAAGTTTGCAAAGACCTGTAGTTAAAATACCAAAAGGTATTTTTCAGAACATTTCAGCTGGAAAGAAACGAGGCAAAAATTCAAGCCTCAAGTTGAAAAATTGAAGGATTCTGTGGACAAAATATTGAATGATATGCTGTTGTTGTTGTTAGGTGCCATCGAGTCAGTACCGACCCATAGTGACCTTATACACAGCAGAACAAAACACTGCCCAATCCTAGGACAACCTCATAACTGTTGCCATGCTTGCGTCCATCGATGCTGCCGCTTGGCCAATCCACCTCATTGGGGTCTTCCTCTTTTTCTCTGACCCTCCACCTTACCGAACATGATATCCTTCTCTAGCAACTTGGTCCCTCCTGACAATATGTCCGAAGTATGAGAAATGAAGTTTGGCCATCTTGGCCTCCAAGGAACACTCTGGTTGCACTTCTTCCAAAATGGATCTATTGGTTCTTTTGGCAGCCCATGGCACTTTCAATATTCTCCTCCAACACCATAACTCAAAAGCATCAGTTCTTCTACGGTCTTCCTTATTTACTGTCCAGCTTTTGCATGCATATGAGGTTGTTGAAAATATCATGGCTTGGATCAGGTGCACCTTAATCCTCAAGCTGACATCTTTGCTCTTCAACACTTAAAAAAGGTCTTCTGCAGCAGATTTGCCTAATGCAATACATCATTTGATTTCTTGACTGCTGCTTCCATGAGTGTTGATAGTTGATCCAAGAAGAATGAAGTCCTTGGCAACTTCAATCTTTTCTCCGTTGATAAGAATGTTGTTTATTGGTCCAGTGGTGAAGATTTTTGTTTTCTTTACATTGAGATGTAATCCATACTGAAGGCTGTGCTCTTTGATCTTCTTCAGTAAATGTTTTAAGTCCTCTTCATTTTCAGCAAGCAAGGTTGTATCATCTGCATATCTCAGGTTGTTAATGAGTCTTCCTCCAATCCTGATGCCACATTTTTCTTCATAGAACCCAGCTTCTCGTATTATTTGCTCAGCATACAGATTGAATAAGTATGATGAAAGAATACAACCCTGTCACACACCTTTCTTAATTTTAAAACATTCAGTGTTCCCATGTTCTGTTCGAACAGCTGCTTCTTGGTCCAGGTACAGAGTCCTCATAAGCACAATTAAGTGTTCCAGAATACTCATACTTTGCAATGATATAGGAAGCACCAAAAGATCAAAGAAATACACAGTCAGTGTACCAAAAGCATATGATCAAGAACTGGTGATATTAAAGAAAGAAGTCTAAGCTGCATTGATGAAAAACCAGATTCCAGGAATCAACAGAATGCAAATTGTTATGTTTCAACAAATTGGTGCAGTGCTGGAAATATTCATTCATCTATACCAAGAAATTTGGAGACAGCTACCTGGCTAACTAATTGGAAGTGTCCAGTCCAAAGAAAGGTGACCAAACAGAATGTGGAAATTATCAAACAATATCATTAATATCACATGAAAGTAAAATTTTGCTGAAGATAATTAAAAAAAAAAACAAAAAAAAACATTTGCGGCAATGCACCCACAGAGAACTTCCAGAAATTCAAACCAGATTCGTGGAGAATATGGATCAAGAAATATCATTGCTAACATCAGATGGATCTTGACTGAAAGCAGAGAATACCAAGAAAAATGTTTACCTGGGCTATATTGACTTTGCAAAAGCATTTGACTGTGTGGCTCTACAGTGCATTTTATATGTCTCTTGTAGCCATGTCTTTGTAACTCTCAACAAAATGACTTTTTCCTAATGGGTCCAGGTAAGAGAAGGTGGGAGAAGATGCTGAAAGAATCATATGGTTCAGTTGTGAGTGATTGTTAACAGGGTGAATTGTTATTGTAAAAACTTGGAAAGCTAACAAAGGCGTGGTCAGCTTTGCCATGCTGCTGGTTGTAAAATGAGCTATCTTGGTGATGTGTGAAGGGGCTGTGTGCTCCTTTGCTTGATTAACCAAACTCGCCTGTGTCTGACCTCTGGTTCTTGGGACTTGAGCCAGTAGCTTGACCTGATTGGCCAGCCCAATTCCTTTGAGTGAGGAGAATCCTACAGACTAATGGCTGACATTCATATTTGGGACTTGCCAGAGTCCACAGCCCTGTGAACCATTTCCTTGATGGACCGTGAGTTCTGTGAGTTGTTGCGGTGAATTGCAGATCCCTGGGATGTGGGGAAGAACACTAAGGGGAGAAGAAGTGGTTAATAGCAGGCATTACAAAATGGTATAGCGCCTTAGGGAAGCTGGACATCTGGGATGTGTTTAACTTCCACCTTGTAGGACCAGCCTCGTGCTGATCTTTCTAAAATAAAATTTTGCTGCAAAATCATGATACATTGTCATATATCATGCAAATAATGAAAATTCCAGAACATTCATTGTGGTCTTGTGAAACCTGTACACAGACCAAGAATGAGTGGTTCTAACAGAACAAGGGAATACTACATGGTTTAAAATCAGGGAAGGTGTGCATCAAGGTTGCATCCTTTTACCATACTTATTCAATCTGTATGCTGGGCAAATAATCTGAGAAGCTGGACTTTATAATGAAAATTTTGAAATCAGGATTAGAGGAAGACTCACTAACAATCTGCAATATGCAGATGAAACAACCTTGCTTGCTGAAAATAAAGAGGACTTGCAGAATTTATGATGAAGATCAAAGACTATAGTCTTCAGTAGATTACACCTCAACATAAATCAAAATCCTAAAAAGTGAATTAATACGCAACATCATGATAAACAGAGAAAAGATTGAAGTTGTCAAGGATTTAATTTTACTTAGATCCACAACCAGTACACATGAAGAAGCAATCAAAAATCAAATGCCATATTCTATTGGGCAAAAATCTGCTGCAAAAGTGTTAGCAAGCAAGGATGTTACTTTGAAGACTAACCCAAGATATGGGGTTTTTAGTCCCCTTATATGCATATGAATTCTTCTATTTC